ATATATATATATATATATATATGAATGTTGATAGTTAGTATGAATTGTTGAGATAAATTGATTTTTAAAATTTAAAATTTGAAATTGATAGTTTATATTACTTTTTGATTAAAATCTGTTAATTTTAAGTATGAAATTAATATTACCTTTGAGTGAGATATACTGATTTTAATTTTGAATGAGTTAATATTACTTTTTAAGTTGATTTTAAAATTTGGAATCAGTAAATATTACTTTTTATTTTTTAATGTCATAGCAATTATACTTCTATCAACCACATAGTTTCCAAACATCATATTTATAGTTATAAAAGTATAATATTTATAGAAATATAATAATGGTCAAAGGTTGAAACCATATTTGGGTGGTAAAGTCGACCGACTTACCACAACTATTCATCTCAAAGATCCTTTAAAGCATGCGACCCATCAAGCTAATAACGTTAAAGAAGCATTTACTAGGAGACAACCCAAGATTCTACCTTTTCTTTCTTCACCTATTTTGATTGTATTTCAAGCTTAAGTAGTTCAATTAGTTCAGCGTTTGATTTCTTTTGAATTTTTCCTTATGTTAGATGTTTGAGTTTTGAAACGGGTGGAGTTAGAGTTTATGTCTTGAAGAATTTGATGCTTTGTGATTTGTTTTATAACTCCACAACTTGTTACTTTACCTCATGAATTACTTACTCTCGAGAGTTGAATAAACAATTTTTAATTTGTGGGTCAAGGTATTATGTGTGGCAAAGCATTCTGGGTTTAGAATTACAATTTGAATATAAGTTTGGCTAAATTAAAAATTATGCAGCAAAATTTTCAAGTAAAAGGAACCTGCAAAATTGCCTTAAGTCACAAAAATTTGGCTTATGCGAAATCTTGAAGAAAACCATATCGGTCAATTTGTGCAATTTAGGCTTAAACAAAGAAATATTAGCTTAAGCGAGACTTTGGTCTATTAGATTTCGCCTAAATTTGGCTTATGCCAGATTTGTTATGCTTAATTCAAACTTTTCCCTTTAAGCTTTTATCTTTTAGGCC